AGCTTACTGAGGGCTGTAGTAGAAGAAGATTGTCCAACATGACATGCTTGATGGGGGGCAACATCAAGCCTGTCATTCTGGATGATCTCCAGGATATCATCCGGTTATAGATACAATTACAGTAATCATCCCTAAACCCAATTTCGAGTAGAAAATTTCCAATAAGCCGAATGTCCCGCTCTTCTCCAATCCAACTGGCAACAGCCAAAGGGAATTGAGTCAAAAGACGACAAAGGGAAACAAGCCTACTGTGGGCTGTACCAGAAGAAGATTGTCCAATATGACATGCTTGATGGGGGGCAACATCAAGCCTGTCATTCTGGATGATCTCCAGGATACGGTCCTATTATAGATACAACTTCAGTAATCATCCCAAACCCTAAGCCAAACACCATCGAAGTGATGGGCAGCAAATCACCAATACCTTCTTGCTCCACAGCTATAACACCATGAAGAATTTGCCCTAACTTATCTACGGAGCAGAAACCAGCGGCAGTTTCCTGTACGCATTTGACTTAATCTGGATATAGTATCGAATTTTATATCAGGCAACCCTGAATTATGTACAGAACAAAAACAAGCACACAAAATCAAACCCCATGCCCTAATATAGCAGAACTGAGCAGCGGGAAGCGTCGAAGCAAGGCAAAATTTCATTTCCAATAAGCCGAATGTCCCACGGGGGCAACATTAAGCCTGCCATTCTGGATGATCACAGGAAGCATAGAACCAGGTAGGGACAGTTCCAAAATGAAAGACCTGATGTGGGCAGCAGCACCAGGCCCATCGTTCCAGGTGGTCCCCGCCCCAACCTCTATTATCTAGTATCAATTTACGAATAGGATGGGGCATGTGAAATTCCTATCGGAAGTTGATGATGATAATAACACGCGTCCTCCTCGTCGACCATGATGATGATGATGATGATGATGATGACACGCATAACACGAAAGCTCTCCCCATACACTGTAAACATTGTGCTTCTCACCACCGTGAATTGTAGAAAGCAGAAAGCAGAAAGTTCCTGCCGCGCAGCAGATGGCTCCCAGTGCACTCTTCATTAGGTCACGGGTGCAAGCCACCAGCAATGGTCATACAAGTTATGGAGGAGAATTCAATATTGATGATGATAATGACATGCGTCATCCTCGTCAATGATGATGATGATGATGATGATGATGATGACACGAAAGCTCTCGCCATACACGGGTCAAGAGTCTGCTACTTGCCACCGTAGACTGAGGAAGGCAAAAAGCAGAAAGCAGAAAGTTCCTGCCGCTCAGCAGATCGCTCCCAATGCACTCTTCTTTTAAGTCAATGTTAATAAAATGCACTCTTCTTTTAAGTCGATGTTAATAACACGCGCCGTCCTCGTCGATGATGATGATGATGATGATGATGATGATGATGATGATGAAGATCAGAAAGTTCCTGCCACGCAGCAGATTGCTCCCAGTGCACTCTTCTTCAAATCACGAGGGCAAACCAGCAGCAATGTTCATACAAGTTATGGAAGAAAAACCCAAATCACATACAGCTGATGATGATTGATGATGACGATGATGATGAAGAAGATCAGATAGTTCCTGCCACGCAGCAGATTGCTCCCAGTGCACTCTTCTTCAAATCACGAGTGTAAACCAGCAGCAAATCACATACAGCTGAAAGTGAGAGGTCCTCCTCATAGAGGGCTCCATATCTGAGACCAGGGAGCAAGCCCTGACCGGTTCATAATACTGATATGAGGGGTGTCGTCCAAGTTCTGCCCTCACATGCCATGTGGCATGGAGGAGGGCCAAGAGCAGAATGCGACGATCACTTATCAAGGTGCCGGAGCGTAACCCTCCCCACAATACTCTCAGCGCCCAAAGCAATCAAAAATTCAAGCAGGCGCGATGCTAACACAGCCCTGCGCTAACGCAACCCTGGGCTAACGCGCATGGCCCCTGCATGTGGAACATCAAGTTTAAATGGGCCATAGCCCTTAAAAAAAAAAAAGAGAAAACTACGGCTCAGTCAGGGTTTGTGTTTGAAATTGCACTTGGCTCAGTCAGGGTTTGTGTTTGAAATTGCACTTGAGGCAAAAGGGCCGCTAATGGTGAATGTATATGACCTATGTTTCGGGTCCGGTGTGGGGGTGTGTTGTATTTGCGGGATTGCCTGAAGTGCAATTACAAACTGTTTTCGTGACTGCGCCGAAGTTACCCCCAAAAAAAAACATAAAAAATTTCAGCTCGAAACTACAGATCCATTGCACTGGGGCCTCTACCCACTAGCATAGCGTAAAACGGTGTGTGGAGGCCGTTTCTTTTAAAAAAGACATATAAAGATTTTTTTTTTTCTTTTCAGAAATGCAAAGAAAACAAGGCCAATGCTATGGATCCACACTTCCACCAACCCGGTACATCTGCATGCGACCTTGCCGCCTGCCTGTTCGCAGTCTTCCACGGAAATCTCAATATTATCAATTTCTGTAAAAAAAAATAGCAAGGCACAAAGCTTCAAAAACACCCCCCCCCCCAAAAAAAAAACATAGTATTGAAGCTTCGCGCCAACGGAAAGTGGCCAACTAAATGGCCAACAAATGATTAAGAAAGAAATTCTACTGGCCCACAGGAAGCTGCATCCACGAAAACAAAGACAATTATCCACACTAGCAGTGGATACTGGAAATGATCGACGGCTCACGCATGTCACAGACGGCCGCACATGGTCAAAAACGGTGGAGCACAAGCATAAATTGGACGTAGTGGGACGAGGCCCCTGGGCAAGTGGGACCTTGCAAAATTGAATGAGGCTGAGATCCTCCATGGTGACTCGCCCGGGCATAATAAAAGCTTAGACTACCTACCACTTTTCCTTTTTTTTGTTTGGGGGGGTGGGGGAGG